CAGCAGGAAATTCCCTGAGCTTGGCTTGTGGGCAGTTCTGCACAAACGTGGCTTTCATGTCCCCGTGTCCAGGGCTGGCCCATTGAACAGGTCGGCTGGCATCTGTGCCCTTGTCTGCAGTGCTGCTGGCTCCTGGGTGACTGCAGGAGGAGCCATTCCAAGTGCTCTGCGTGTCGAGTGAGGACATGTCCATCAATTTTACTTAGTCTTTACACCAAGGGGAAATCAAAGCGGGCACGTTATTTACCCCTTTGGCTTACTTGTCTTTGGCACAGATCGCCACTGTCCCCTAAGGCACCAGGATTAGGAATCACTGTGAACGTGACGAGACGTGTAGTTTAATAGATATGTACTGTTAACAATGGCTCTGCTGTCACAAATGTGAGCAGGTGAGCTGTACTTTAATGGTTGTCTCATACTATGTAGCCATCACACCAGAAGCTTTCAAGCACTTGGTGAGCCCAGGTTACGCTCTGATGTGGACTGTCTTGTAGGATCCTTGTCGTGGTTCCGTGGCACTGCCTCTCCCCATAGGCATCTCTGCAACATGTCTGGCAGTTCAAACTACAGCTTATATAAGTGGGGTTGTATTAAGAAATAATTTAGGAGAAAGGCTTTTAGTGATTTTGGGTGCCTCTGCATCCCGCTGTCCCAGCTGAGACAAAAAATGAGTCTGATTATCATGGAGGGTAGGAGGGAGATGCTTTCTAGTCTTCTAAGACTTAGGCATCCAAAAATCACAGGCACTGAAAAATAAAAGATCACAAACCAGTAATCATTTTAGAACTCTTGTCTGCACTGCTTCTTAGTGAAACTGCTTTTTTAATGCAAATGTGGAACTGAAAATCTGAAGCCAATTCCAAGTGACCAGCCAGCACTGTGTGGGACACAAGGAGATGCTCTGGAGCTCACCAGCAGCCCAGGGAACACTGCTGGCAAATTTCTGCCTTAACATAAGAGAAATTGCAAGGTACATTTCAGGAGATGCAAGAAGGGCACAGTGTGTAATCATTCAAGTATGGCATGCTGTTCTTTACATGAAACCTGCCAGAAATTATTCTGAAAATCATATAATTTACTGTCTCTCTCATTTGCCGTGTTCATAGCAGATAGTACAGTTGCTTTAATGACTGCCCTAGTCTTTATAGCTTCTTTTTGTATGTTATTTGCTAACTTGTATTTCTGCTTAGTCTTGAGAAGAAAACACCATCTCCTCGGATCTGATAATCTTCCTTCCTTTGCTGCTTAGTAGAAACAGCAGCAGCTGCTTGTACAGCAGGCAGAAATGCACATTCCATCTGTTTTTCCTTTCTCTCTCCAAATAGCAAAGAACCTAGTCAGCAGCGTGTGAAAAGATGGGGTTTCTCCATGGATGAGGTGCTGAAGGACCCAGTAGGACGAGACCAGTTCCTTCGTTTCCTGGAATCAGAATTCAGCTCAGAAAACCTCAGGTGAAACCTTTTTTGATTTAAACTAAATTAATGGGACCAAACCTAGTCTCCAACATAGGTGAAATACAATGTTTTGTGTGTCTTGAACTGCTGAAAACACCTATTTGAATTAAGTTGAGAATAGCAGGATTTGGCCCGTGACACTGCTGTGGATCCCTATACTAGAACTGCGTGTAATCTCAGGAGCAGCGTTTAGCAGAGCCAGTGTTGTCAAGTATCATGTGCAAAGTTGTAATAATGTGATGAGACATGGCAAAGAGCTATTAAGCCTCCTAACAATATATAGGATTTACACATCTGTTTGTGGCAGGGGTGGTGTGAGGGAAGCATAGTATGGTGATCATGTGGATAAAAGCTGTTACAGTACTAGCACTCACCAAATACGGCTTGCAACAGCTATTTTTAATTCTGGCACCTCTTAGATATTCCAGAGCACAAGTCTCACCATAGCAGCACATGCTCTGTGTGGGGATTGTGAGTACCTAGCTTTCTGTGTTGTGAAGAGTTCAAAAGTTCTAGTCTGAAACATTTTTTAAAAAATCACATGATCCTACATCAGACTGAGAATTTATAAACCTGTTGTGCACAGTTCTGCTACTTCAACAACAGCAGGAA